TCCTTACTACAGAAATGGGTAAGGAAGAATACATATGGAATTTCTCTCTCTAGTGTAGGCTCATTCTAAAAAGGCAAATTTTTACCCACAGGAGTTTGAAGTATTCTAATATATACAGATAAGTTGTTGCTTTACCTTACATTTAGCAGATCACGGGGAACTCTGTACACAGGAGTGACTTCACCTATCTCTAAAATGCATCTAACTCTCATAGGGGATACCCCAACAGATGAGGTTCCCCTTAAACTGCTAAATAAAGGTTAAACTACAATTTGTCCTGTCAACTTGAGGATTTTATAGCATGGTACCTACTGAATTGTTCTCTCTTTCATGAACACAGATGTGTGAGTATGCACACCAACCTACCCACCTCTTTTTTGCCCCTAGCACAGATATACATAAAGAAATCCACTTGGGTTCTACATCACTGTCATCACATAAGCTTCTCCCATCAGCTTCCAATTTATCTGAACAGTATGCCCAGAGTATGATTAATCCAACAAGCTGTCCATTTTTATACGAAGCTGGCAGATAATGTTAGGTGCCATAAACAATGCACCAATATAGTCTCCATCTCTCTTGTACCCCCCCCCACTTATTTTTTCTCGTGTTCTTTAATGAGAAGAAAAAATGTCAGCAGTGTGATTTAGCAATCCTGTGATAAGAAATATTGAATAAAAGCAATATTCTGACAGATGGAGATTCAGCTGTCAATAATTCATACATGAGAGAAAGCTGAAATAACACCGAACAGGAACATTATTGTTTTGTTTTTAAAAGAAAACAGGGCTCAAATTTTTAAGCCAAACTGAAAGAAGTAATGTCCCTGGCTATTAGAGGTGCACTGATACATTGGCCCATATCATACTGGCAATGAAAAAGAAAATCGACATTATCAGCAATTAGCCTGCTTTGGCTGATAACATCGCTGACAAATGACACGTGCATGTGCATAGTTGCTGCATTCACATGGCCAGGAGTGCAGTCCGGCAGTGTGGAGAGCAGCATCCAGCCAGTAAGTCTCTGGGGTGGGGTGGGGTGGGGTGGGGTGGGGGG